ACATTTCAACCCAACAGCAATTCAACAGCAATTCAACTCGTTCCCCTTATAGGACTGACTAGAGCTGTTTAGATATAATGAGAATCCCGTGAGTTGTTTGCGGGTGATCCTCTTCGCATATTTTTTGTCAAAAACGAGTAAGGAACTTATCATGATGCCAGAAGAATGCATGCAAGCTCCTCAATAATCTCCTGATATTAATTTCCTGCTTTATTGCAAGTGAAGTACCATCGCTAGGCATGGGACGTCATCATATCTTATCGTTCGAGGAGTTGTTTCCACAAATCTCTTCATTTGATATGATATTTGAATCTACCCCACACTGGATGTCTCAATTTTGGAAGCAGCTCATTCCATTTTTTCGAAAAAAACTGTGTTTGACGCCTTGTCCCCACGTACTGCTTTACCCATAACTATATCATTGTCACAGCTTTCCCATTCCACGAATAGGAACTTAATCGCTTCGTCAGCGAGTTCGTCCAAATATATCTGTGAAAGGAAAGTTATCGATTTAACCGAAAGTTCGATTTTTTTTATGTGGCGCACACATATCCCTACCGCTCTTTTGCTGTGTTTAAGCAAAGAACAAGGCTTTTTTAATTTTATTTTATTATTCTGCAGAAAAAGCGACTTTCTTTTCTTACGGAAAAATAGAAACATCTTTTGTTTTTGTGAACTCGCTATAAAAAAAGGAAAGCCTAAGAATCAATAAATTAAGTATTAGTAGAGCTACTAATCACCATTCCGTCGGCAACAGATGGATCTTCGCCATTTAACCAGGCCGAACTTTGAGTTAACCCGATCTGGAAGCCATCTCTGCTCCGGTGAAACGGTACCATCCTCGGACGATATCGTCGTCACATTCCAACCCTGCTCCGTAATTAATGTTTCTGTCAGCACTGTCCAGAACTTTGTAGTCCGCATACTCTGATTTGAGAAATGAAGAAAAGAGACAAAGCTTAATAACGTTTGGGCATGCCTCCAGCTCGCTCGTGAATCCATAGCAACTGTGGATGCTTGCAAAATGACGACAATTAAAAATCTCCGATATGTTGTGGTAAACACTCATCAGTTGGATCTCTTTTAAGCAGACGATTATCTCTTAGCACCGACCAGCACAAATTTCCACACAAAGGAAGCGCAATCAGCTCAAACTGGTATTGCTGTGAGAAAAAGGAAGTGATAAAATAAGGTGTTCACAGAGTATTTTGACCGCCAATTAAAAACGGTCTGTGGGGAAACTTTTAAGCTTGCATTATCTACTTGTTTTCACTGAGACAGATCAGCGAACCGCGCCGCTGTTCAATTTATTCAAGATGATGTTATGGTTTCACAACCAG